GATGTTAAACACTTCAGATGAAATATTTTGAATACGTGTTTCTGTAATCAACTGGTTGGTTTAAAAAAAAAACATTTAAAGCTTCTAAGAGTACAGAAAAGAAAACGAAAACAGCAATTTCCTTTCGTAATGTAAGCATTTTGTCCAGTTTTGGTTGCGTTCATTTTCGCGCATGAATGTCTAAAATTGGCCCATTTATGTTACCCTGCTAAGCCGACCCAACCTAGCTTGAAACGTCGACGTACCAATTAATTTTCACAACCGACTTCCTGCAGCCCGTCAAAATTTGTGGCAAATGATTTACGGCTAGTGGGAATCAACGCATTTTTAAAGCTGCATGCTACGTTTTGATATAAAATAATCAGGTATTATTAAGCTCATAACTCGGCTCCCTTACAAGATGGAATGACGCAAATGATTTCAATCAAAGGACAATACAAAGCGCAATCTTTTGTACCAAACATTACTAGAAGTGTTAGATGACTTGCTTTATAACATTCAAACAGCATATAAAACATGTTAAAGATAACACCAAGAGCTCTGACTAATGTCAGAATGCGTAATTCATCACAACAAAGAAGGTGAGTGTATTTTCGTGCTTTACGTCTAGTCACAAAATGTCATGTCCGTGACATGGTGAGTAAATTTCCAGAAATGTTACTCTGAAATATAAATCTCAAATATAACTATGATCGTCTAATTCGATCTCCAGCCAACATTAGTATAATATTTGTTGCTTGGCCAATAGACCAATTTCCGACTCATTTCTAGGAGATAGATTGCGCAAGAAGCGACACATCATTCCTCACTGAACGTGCACGAGTAATCGGGATCGTAGAATATTTTGTTTTAGAATAACCGCTAGCGATAACCATATTGTACGTGAATGCTGTGTCTTGTGGGCATTGCTGGTGCCTGATTTTGGGAACTAACACAAAGGTGGCGATTTTATCTCTGTCGGCGGTGAATTTATTCTCGCTCGGAAAGTCAAAGCGGTAGATTCATCATCAGTTCCAAATGCCCCTTCATGTTACTTCCGGTTAAGCTATGGCCATGAAATTTACCAAGGTACCAGTTCGATCCATTATTATTACAAAGTTCGGGGGACGGAAATCAGCGAGACGATCTGATGTCTTATCTCCGTTCATGCGTATATAGGTTACTGTTGGAACGTGGTGATGGACCTTAAGTTAAGTTAGTGCGAGAAGAATGCTGGTCAATGGGTCTTCCCGTGGCAAAACATAGATAATGCGAGACGTCAAAACGAGTCTGGAAATTTTAAACTTTTGAAATAATTCAATTTTGGATCGAGCTACAGCCAAAAGCTGGCTTTTGTGTAGCGCTATTAAAAAACGTTTCCTTCGTGTTTTACATACGCATCAAAGCCTGGAGGCTTATAACCGGCGCTCCGATATGCATATTATTGATGCAATGTACTCGGCCCAGTGTGACGAGAGCGGCGTTTCATGTTGATATGATAATATTGGAGGCGGGTGACCGATCCTTTATGCTTGCAAGTGCCAGACACGCACCGTGATCCAATTTCGTGAAGCTGGGACACCGTAGCGTAATAAAGTTGGCTTGTTTTGAACATAAGGAATCTTAAAGGTCCACATACGGGGCAGACAGGGAGGGGTGGAAGCAGGCATAAGGGGCACGTGTTCCCCTTCGATCCCTCAGGGATCCAGAGGTTCTCTCGGATCGATAATCAACGGCCCGATGACAGGGCTCAAAGCGCCGAGGGCTGGCCGGATATCTCCAGTCCGAAGGACCGGAACCTTCTGATTGTCAATCAGAAGGGTCTCTGGCGGTGAAAAGGGCCCTGCTGAAGAAAAGAGACCTTTACTACGGTCGAGATCACTATAATCGGTCCTTTGTAGGACTAAAGCCCCTTTTTCCAAGCATGGACAAGGTCCGTGGCCCACGAATGTCATTCAGAGGACCTCGCGAGTCGCATTGGTCGGGGTTTCTCCTGTCGGACATGGATGTCCTCAGATCACAGTGCATACATAAAAGGGAAATTGTGTGCTGCCGGAGAGCCGGCTGAGAAGCTCATTTAGTACCCATCACAGCCCACCACAGGCCTTCTCCGTTGGTTCGGACCCTCTGAGAGCGACAGAAGATTGATAGCAGTGAAAGGGTGCATAATGAGTCAACGAGACGGTTTAAGGGCTCCGATTCTCTCAGGAGGCCTCAGTAACAATCGGGAGCCCTCTGACTCGCTTCGACCAGTGGCTCGTTGAGTGGAACTGGGTCCCCTGTGCAAATCATTTGACCCTCTGCGCCCGTATGTGATCTTTTTGCATCAGTGAGAGCCACTGCGTCGATCCGGCTGCAGCTGTCCCGGTGAGAAGACAGCCTGCGTCGGGAAGGGGACCGGTACACAATACATTCCCTCAGGGCCTCGAAATGGATCAGGGGGCCCCGATTCCCAAGTCGCGAGATGGCAGCTGGTGAATACCTTGCGCTGGGATGGAAAGGTTCTTTGGCCACTGACCGGAAAAGGTAATACCACTTCCATGGTGTGCTACCATCTACTTGTGTATTGCAGTGTGCTATACATCAGTATATCTACCATCCTGGAGTACTACGCACATCCTCCTCCACCCCGCATATCAGAGTGTCTCTTACGTTTGTAAAATCCATTGATGTCCTCCAGGAGCGCGAACGCCGGCGGAACTGGATTATAACGCTTAACGCTATTACGCTTCTCTTGTTCTCCTAGACTCTTCCTAAAAACATCCCTTCTTCTTTATAGTTCCAAACAGCCCCAAACTTCGTTGTGCTGTCTAAAATTTCCCGAAAACTCCACATCTGTTTCCATTGTGTAGTTTTCGATGTCACCTCCTTTCAGAAACAACTTAGGTACACATCGAAGCACAATGCACCATGCGTCACGACATTTATTAGTGACTCAATGGTTCACATGCAATGTGGCATAGCCCATGCCTGGAATAAAGTACACTTAAGCGACCACACACAAGATGCATCTCTGAGCTGACTGTACACGGTCCACCACATTTTTCTGAACAGGAAACATGCCAACAAACTTGACCTGGCGGAGGAGATCGCCATGCCATGTTAAATTTCCCAGCATCGCACCTGAGACGAATAGGCGGTTACATAGCACATTCGATGCTCTGCGACGGTTTTTGATGCACAGCATTGGAGCCAGTGCCGTCACAATGACTTGGCTACAGAGCATCAACGCTGGATGCCCAGTGGTGTGCCCCAGTTTAAGATCAGTTAGTTTTTCGAAGGAGATGGCACCTGCTACACCTCGTCCCGTTGTGCGTGTGGGCTACCCGAACCAGACTTTTGAATTTGCAGACCGTAAGAATTTTAAGATTCGTCAAGAAGTGATATGTCAGTGTTTACGCAGCCCTTAATCGTGATACCACGAAGGTGACGATGACGCACCGAAGACGGTGAAACTACGTCGGAGCTGGTGACATGGCGCTGTTACTGACGACACCGCGCCGGATCTGTAGGAACGACGACAGAGCCGGCCACGACGGAGCCCGTGAACGGAGGAACCCGCACACCTGAAAAACATACAAATGCATATGAAATTCTAAGAGTGAAAACAGGGGCCCTTACAGAACGGCACGCTCGGCAGACAAAGACATAGTAAACTTGAGTTCACTTTTAGTCGAACCTGGGAAATTTCTCCCACTGTCTACACCACAAATCATTTCACACCTCCAAATCATTTCTAAACGGATGGCTTGGCCCATCCATGACACACGTGGGAAAAGGTTCGGATAACCCACACTTTTTCTCACTTTGCGAACCCTGACAATATTGGGGTTTTTA